AATGATCGGTCCCCTTCCCATTCCTGCGCTTTGGACAATTTTTAAAGACATTTTTCTAAAGACTAGGGTATATCTAAATATTACTAATATTAAGAGTGATTTACAAGGGGATAAAATGAGATAAGACATTTTCTTGAAATGTAGGTATTTTTTGAAATGTTAGTTATTCGATATCACCTTGATAACGATAATTACAAAAACACGATCTAAAAATAATATGATGAAATGTATTTATTAGAATCGGCGCCATTTGTTATCTTGCGTATTTACGATCCTACGATATATATATATATATTATTTTTTTTTTTCTAAGAATTCAACTCAATTTAATCTAAATTTTTAACGCAAACACAATAAAATATTTTATTTACGAGGGTTTATTGATATTCTTGATATTCTAAACATCACTTTAAAAAACGGGATTTTTATTGGTGCTTATTTAGATAATTTTGAGTTAAATAAATCATCGTTACAAATGGCAGATAACATCGAATGCTTCGAGTTCGAAAAGTGGTACTGAGAAATGGTTGAGAAATAGTTTTGTTATACTCGTTTTAAATTGCTGGAAATCACGCATGCTTATGATTAAAATTTCAACGATTTCCCGCAACTACACATCGCGAACATCTCGGAACATAGAAATCTTGCACGCACGTCATTTGAATAGGAGAAAAGGAGAGAGCGTGTGCAGAAAAGGACAATTAAGCTCATCGGGAGAGAAGACTAAACGCAACGACGGACGCAACTTTAAATAACTCCAAACGCAATTAAAACGCCGTTAATCTCTGTAATGAGAGCGCACGCGTTGACGGAGCTTTAATGCAATTACAATATACCGTGGGCTGTTACAGTCTGAATACCATGAAACTTGAGATTTAAATACACATCTCGACTGGATATGTCTTCGATTCGTGTCCAATGTAAGTACAAAGTTTGAATTTCTCTTTGATGAAGCGAAAATGGGATTAAGTCGACATCGAAAGTCATTTCGCCGAACTCGTTTCTCATTAAAATTCAATCTTCGTTTCTTTTGTTCCAAATTTTTCCTCTTTTTTTTTTTTTTCTACACTAGAATAAAAATATTCTCATTTACGAAAGTACTAGACGTCGCGACAAAATCATTTATCTCGAGTCATTTATCGCCGTGGGCGACATACGTCCAATTAATGCGCTCAAAGTGGTCACCGATGCGTTAATGATGCCTTTTCAACTTTTTAACATGATGCAATAAAGGATAAGTTACATATTTTTGAAAATTTCGAGAAAAAAATCGACGATTTTCGAATACGTGTCCTCTATCGATGAATTTTCATAGTCGTTAATCAGCATCATAATTAGATCGAAACAGATAATTGGAGCTTTGAAATAATCCAACAAATAAAGATTATTCAATCGCGAGAATACATGAATTTACTTATATGCGAATATTTTTCTTGAAACATATTTTGAGGCAAGAAACAAATTTATTTCGAAGAAACAAACAATAAAAAAACTACACGATATTTATAATCATAAATATAATAGTCATAAATTGTAATCGTTACCGAAAAAAAAAAAAACGTAAATTTTAGATTATTTAATGCAGCAATTTTGCTGCTACCAGAAAATTAATCCTAAACTGATTGATATTAATAATATACTCGTGTTTGTAAATATTGTAACGAGTAGTTTATAATAAGAAAATATTTCAGAAAAAATTGTGTTGATAAAAGTGTAATTTAGCTTTTAATTTTAGAAAAATAAAATTTTTAATCAAGAATAGGTTATTCAAAACTTATAAGCGAATTTTCGATTAGCGTAGTTGATGTACCTAACCTCTACGTTATTCAACTGACAACTGCGTATGTGTGCATGACATGGTTAAATATACAGGGTTAAACAGGCTCATAGATCTAAATTGTTAAAGATTTGAAAAAGTATAGGAAGTGTTTAACTAAGTTGTACTTTAATCTTGAAGGTGGTAACGATATATGTGAAACGTTATATGCGAAGAGAATATTCTCGTAGAAGCAGACTAATTTTAGAATCTAGGATTCAATTTAAGAAAACAACATGATATATAGTTATATGTGAGTTTGCTGATATAAATTATACGAATAATTAAGAATTCTTGTTCTTTTTTTTTAAATATTATATAAGAAGCATTTAAATATTTTTAAATCAAAAAAGTTTTAAAAATACAAAATTTTATTGCAAATAAAATTACGAGAATGAAAATATTCAATGAATATTAATTAATATTCGTTTACATTTCATATCATCATATACCTCAAAGAAACCTATATACATGATGTTTAATAACATATTTGAATTTAATATCGATCGTAATTGGTTTCAATCGAAAACGAAGAAAGTTTCATATAAGTCTTTAACGCATCGTGAAAGTATCATCCGCGACATATAGCACTGGTGCAATGCATACGATTCCATAAAAATAACGGGACAAGATGATCTCTCACAGAAACTGGTTTTCCGGGATACCGGTAATGTTAACATCAACGATGGGGTTCCAAACTGTGCAGTAATCATAGAAATTACTGTCACATTGTTACAAACACTTCTATTCGAATTTCACCAAATACAGGTTATCGGATTAATTGAGCATAAATAAACGTAATATTTCTGAATAATGTTTTCATTCCTATAATAAAAATTCCTAATTATCCATAAGAAATAATTGAGTTATACAAAAGTTATGCTAAAGAAAAAATTAGAGGAATATATACATTAAATGAGATAAAATAATCTGGCAAGGTTATTTCTCGCTCGTGATATTATTTCTCGCATATGATTCGCTCAACAGTACGAATAATACCATATCCATAGAAAACGGAAGCAGACAAGAGCGAATCATTCATTGTTGTCGACAAAATCGGATGATAATGTGCGTAAAACGACTCACTGTGAACGACAAGCGCGTGCTCGATGGTCGAATGCGTGAGATGCGTGAAATGCATTAGACCGCGTGGTACGCACGTGTTTAAAACCAGTTTCACGTGAATCTAATGGCTCCCGCGAAGCATAATTCCCATTGGAATGTCACGATCGCAACTAGTCTCAGTCAATCGTTACGATGTCCTGCTAATTTGTTACGAATATATTAGATCGTATAAATAAACATGAGCGCATTGAAATTGCGAAAAGTAATATGTCGAATTTTTCAAATACTTTTATCGATAGTTGGGTTGCATGCGAAATAAAACGTGATCTGCGACTTTCTCGTTACTCACCTCACGAAACAACAATTTAATACAAGAATAATCAGTTGCGCATAGCATCGATTTTCAACATGATTCACGAAACACAGTTGTTAATATTAAAATTTTATGCACACCGATTGATTCTATAAGTTTCTTGATATCGTTATGGAACAAACTGGAATATTTTTTTGGATAATTTAAATAAATATTCGTTAAATACAAATTTCCGGGTAAAGTTCTATTGTTTTTATTGCTGGACAATGAAATGGAAAAACATTGTATTCTATAGACGAGATCGACTATACGAATTCAAGGACCACTTAGCCTCGAAAGCGTCTGTAACTTGACAGTACTTCGAGTTAAGTGAACAAAGTGAGGTTAAGTATCGATACAGCAGACGACAACTTGGCAAGAATTCTATACCTTGACGACCTAACTTTGAAGAAATATTCGGGGAACATGAGTCAAAGAAGAAATCTACACGCATAAGAACATAGTTCATATGTCTATTGCTTTTTATATTTTTATGCTTTCCATTGGTAAAGAATCGATCGGTACACGTAAATTGTAAATCTTGACTGGAAGATTCTCCTTTAATGAAAGAAATTGTCTAATTTTGTTCAATTAAGCTATTTCCCGGTTTGTAATTGGCTTCAATTTGTGGTAAAAATAAACAGAGCGAGTTGACAGCAGTGTTAGCAGGGTGGCACGAACGTGCGTAGGAGATCATCTCCAACCAAGCGGTTACACGATCGTTTCCTTCTAGAAAAGCCATATTTCCCGCCAAAGGCCACTCAACGAACGAATATACATAACTCACGCGGCTCTGGAATTATATAACTATTGTTGCACGAGTCGTAAATAAAGGCTACTTACCGCTGATCAAGGCGAAAAACGTCAGGACCGCGCGCACACACACACGTTACACTTCGCACTGCTTAAGACAAACTGCCGTGTCGTGGCGCTGATGCAGATCGCCATCTTGGATCGATCAGTCGGCAGTAGCAGTCGAAAAGTGCGCTGATTTTGATTCTCGAATTCTTGCCATATTCGAATGACAGATGCAATGTCCGTTATAAAATTAGAGGTAAATAACAGAATAACATTTTCCATTGCGATCATTATTTTTCATTTAATCTGCACTAGATAAATTGAAACACAAATAATAACAATCGACTTCGCTCGATTCGCAGTTATCGTACATTCATACATTGCATTCGTTTATGAATATACACAATGATTCTATCATTTCACAAGCAACGCGCATAATACAATACATTATGCTGATAAATAAATAACGTTAAAAGTGTAATAGTACTCTCTATTCCTTTGGAAAAGTATAAAAACATAAGAGGTTGATAAGATAATAAATGCAAAGTTTATGAGTTTATGCCGAGCAACAATACTAATAATAATTCATTCCGTATATTATCAATCACGTAATTTTTCATACACAATTTTTATTTTTAAATTTATATTCACCACAATTTAATTCATATTTTTTTAAATAACACACTTCTTTCACATACATAATCTTCCTACATATATAATTTATTAAGATCATTGCCAATAATAATTAAATATTTCTTATAGTATTAAATATTTCTTATATCATGTATATATATATATATATATGCATATATACGTATATACACACACATACACACACACACATATATATATATAGATAGATATATATATTTTTTTAAACATTAAATACTAATTTATATCTAAGATATTTTATCAAAGAATCACTACAATATATATGATTTATGCATGTGCAAGCTTCTTTTTTTTTGCTTTGTATGGAAGTTTAATATATGCACAAGATTCTTTCGTCTTTTCTATGCGTTTCAGTAATTTCTAAAATTACCAATAAAAACGACTTATGTAATACTTAACAAATATTATAGTTTCACGCATCATCAAATTCTCACTTATAATTGCAGCTATTCAGTTGTGTCTATATGTTTCCTTTTGTAAGTATATTGCATCAATTCCACTTTTGCGATCACTATAGGAATTCTTAAAAATCGATATACACATAGCACTTAGAGACACGTATTTTTTAAATTATGAGAATACTTATATCGAACTATATTCGTTTATATACTGCATTCGTAAGTAATCTAATAGTTTTAAGAGCAACTTTTATCGTGTCAAATATAAATTATGAAAGAGTTTCGTCCCATAGTCAAGTTGTTTTAGAATCTTAAAAAGTATGCGCATTACGGCAAATGCCACAACCAAGCGCAAATTCTTCGCCAGTTGGTGGATGTTTAACATGTAAAGGACATTCGTCCCCTTCGAGTTGTTTTGCTTTAGGTCCTATTTAAAAAAATCACAGTTATGTATAAATATAGAACTGTAATATATATATATAGATATAGAATCATGTAATATATATCATAATAAAATTATAAAAAAGACAAGAAAAGAATACCTGCAGGACACGAAGGTAATTCACCCTTTGGAATGGTGGTGACTCGTTGGAAGTCGTCGTGGCAGGGGTTACAGAAATGTGTAGTTCCAAAGCAAAAGAAGACTGCCACCGAGCAACAATAACGACACTTATACTCTAGGAAGTCTGCTCCATGCTTCGGACACATCTGAGCCCTTGCCACGTCGCTACAACCTCCACAAACTAATTCTGTAGGATCGAACGTTTCTCCACCTACTTGTGCGTCGCATCGTGCTTCACCACCATAATAGGCTTTCTGACATTTGTAGCAAACATAATACGCATAGCGTTCCATTGCGTATGCAGCAGGATCTTCATGATATCTTCCTCCTGGTCCAAATGTTGATTCCGCTCTGTAAAAGTTAGTAATCGTGTAAAAAAATGTAATCTTAATTATGTTTCTTAATATCTTGTGTATAAACTTTTGTTTACTTGTGCAATCCTTCATATTCTAACCGCATTAAGGCCTTTCTTCTCACATCTTCGTAAAGCTCCTTTATATTAGCTAATAGATCCGTCAAAGTAGGATGTTCCATTGGAACTTTACAAATTGGACAAAGAGAAAATCCAAAAGTTATTCTAGGTCCTACCCATCTTTTCATTAAAACGTGCCTACAGCAATGCAAGTGGAAAACGTGTCCACATTGTAATTGAATCGCAGGTGCAGCAGATAGAGCTTCCGTAAAGCAAATCATGCACATATCATCAGCATCTTGCTTCAAATCACTTCCCGGTAAACATCTATGTAGACAAGGTAGACAATTCTTCTCGTTTCGTACTCCTCCACAAATATGTCCACATACGTGTACTTTGCTGCACGCGTTTTTACTATGCTCTTGACAATCCTGATCTGCGCAAATATTTCCTACAGCTAGCAAACCTGTATTTCCAGTAGTGCCGCAAAATCTGCAAATTCCAGATGTAGCACCAACGGGTTTTCTTGGCGAACCATCACGAAATTCCACCAATGCTTTTAACGTTCTACTATCGGCAAGCGCCAAAATCCAAAACAATTTTGTTCGGCCACATCCCTCATGAAGATCTACCCGTATCGCTTCTTCCTCCTCCTTGCAAACTTGTCTTATATGCATACGTGTTCTTCTATGTAAATGCAAAATTCTATCGCATTCCGAGCATAAATTTCCACAAACGTTACATTGTATAATTGCCGTTGTCTCGCCATCGTCATGATTACTACACGTTGGCTAAATATACAAAATGTAGAAAATATATTGAATGTATATAAAAATGCGTATATAATAATAAAAATTGTTATATTTTCAAATGATTAATTCTCACTCTAGGCGGCGGCGGTTGTCCCTCGGTACCGCTCCATTGACCCGAAGACAACCTCTCGACATGATCGGAATCTAATACACACAAGGAAGAAAGGGCAAGCCATAAAGTTGGGGTTTTAAGACACTCAGTTGGATCACGGCTTCTTTCGTCCAATCTGGTAAGATTTAAAATATTTTCCGCAATAGCTGCTTTAGTCACCGATGCCCATGCTTCTGATAATTTTCCCTAATAATAAATATAAAAGATATAAACAATACACGATCGATTAAATATTTCAATTTCAAATTATTCATTTAATCATACATACCGATGCCATATCTTTCAAAAGTTGTATTATCACTTCGGCTAATTTTCGAGTCATACATCCTCTTAACCACCATCTTGTTCCAACTTGACTTTTTGGATGAATACTAGTAGCTAATGATACACTTTGCAAGGCTTTTCCATTGTTTTCTTTTCCTTTTACCTTAACTTGAACCGTGAGCGCCTTAGCAATACAACTTAAGAAAACGTCAAGAATTCCCGCGGAATGCTCATCAAATTCGCTACTATGAGAAAGACCATTATTTGCGGATATAATACTAAAATCTGTCGGTGGTAATCGTTTGACACTAATGACATTAGCTAACACTTCTGGTTTAATTTCTGGTAAAATTCTTTTCAACAAAGATGTTACCTAATAAATAATTGAAAATGTTATATGAAAATTCGCGATTTAAATTTACGAATATAAAATTTTAGTGAAATGCATACTTGACGTTGCACTCTTGCCGATCCAGTATGTAACAAACTCAACAAATCTTTCAATAATCCATATTGATGCGACAGGTAATACTGTCCTACTGAACTACCACTTAAGGCTAGTACCATGGATAACATTTCAAAGCAATATGCATCTGCTGCTTTAGGCAAATCGCTATTATCACTTAACAGACTATTAGCAGGAGTCGGAGAACATAATAGAGCCTCCCATTCTTCTCTTAGACGAATGGTTTCTTTTTGAATAGCTTGAACAATGTGGGTACAAACTTGTTTTTGTAAATGGGTTAAATTGTTTCTACTGAATAAAATTCCAACCATGTGCTCGCGGAGATCATTACTATCCTCCAAGTCTTCGTTAGTTCCTTCCGTAGTATCCATTTGTTGTTGTTGTTGTTCACCTTGTATAAGTTTTCCAAATACCTGTCAAATAGAAATACTTGTTATATTTGTTTTATAAATACATAAATTATAATCAAGGGATGTAACATGTAATTAACGTGCTTGAGAAGTAATTAAACGGAACACTTTTAGCGTTTCCGTTTCACAATTTCTTTGTTGAATCGTTTGGGCGTTCAACTGTTTTCCAATTTTCAAAGATTCCCCTTCAATTTCACCTAAAATTCGTATCTGTCGTACTCGCAAAGAATTATCTGGACCTTTCAATTTTAGACCGACGATAACATGACGTGGATCTACAAGAAATATAACAATAATAGTTCGTAATAGTTTCATATTGTAATCAAAAAATATATTATATGCGATTTTACCAGTGACTGGACAGTTAATCCATCCGGCGGAACGGCTTTCGACTTCTACAGTTCTCAATTTGATCATTTCATCCACGTTATTACCCGATTGAAACGTAACACTAGATACTTTGTGCTGTAACATAAGTATAAAATGAGTATAAAGACATGGTAAATGAATTAAGATTCGTTATAAAACTTACCGTCAGATCACGACAGTTATCGATATGAATGTACACCATTCGAGGAAGAGAATGAGCACCACAAATGATAGTTATCGTCTTTGTTTTGTTCCGATCTTCGTCACCGGATTCCCAAAAAGTTTCCGTTGAATTATCGGTCAAGCTACCTATCATAGCTTGCCTGCTCGATGCTTTAATTTCCACTCCGCATGTTAAATCCTTCAAAACTTCCACGCAACTATTAATTTGTTGAGAATGAATTGATTGATGACTTTCATGCATGCTCATCGTAATATCTTCCTCTTCTTCCGATCTTGAGAGTATTTTACTAATGTTACTAAAAACATGACTTCTGTGGAGGAACATATGATCCGCAGGTGTGAATTTAATGCCCCAACATCGAATGGCAGCTTGTTGTAAAGGAGAACCTAATAAAAATTAAAGTTTGCCATTTTTGTCTGTTTTGTAAAAATAATATTGTGGATAATGCGAAAAACATACCAGGAGGTGGCAAAAGCATCAAGTCTGCTATAGTTTGTAATAAAGTATGAAAAACCGTTGGTAATGGATTAACAGATTCACCTGCTATGACAAGATCGCTTAGAGGATGTTCGCATACGCCAATCATTTCCTAAAAAATATAATATTTTATTGACAATATACTGAAAAATGAATGGAATGATAAGAAAATTCATTTCATGATTCGTGAAACGAATCAAAGAAGAAAGATTTTAAGAAGACACGAAATATACTTACGTGATCATCCTTTTTATCAGTTTTATTGTCTTCGTCATTTGTGTCTGGAATATCAGGTGGTACAGTAGGTGTTAGGGATGCGATGAACCACCACAATAAATCATGAAGACAAATAGGTTGCGTCACACTTCTTAGCAACCAGTTTAACGCTTGCATCGCGTAAACTCTACAAGCAGCGCGTCTCAATGCTTGCTTCATCGCAAGTTGTAGATGTTGCAGATTATGTTGTTGTAGGACGAAAAGCATCACGGGCCTCATGAGAATTTCTATTCTATCGTTAGTGGTGACTTCTTCTTCTTGATTCGTCGAGACAATCGCCGATTGATTCATCGATGGTACTAATTTTTGTAGGGCTGCAGACGGGTAACACAGAAGGGAAGATCCGGCATCTACGATGAGAAAGAACGACGAAATATTTCTTCTTTTATTCCTAAGTTTAAAAACGTTATCGCGTAATTAATATTCAATATTCAATTACGAACCAGTGTTCATTTCGCTGCTACTGTTGTTCCGTTTTCTCATCATGACAACTCTACCATCGTTCGAATTCCTAGTCCATGGGGCACCGGTGGACATCGATACCGATCGATGAAATATCCCACGACCTTTACCACCTTCCCCGTCGCTATCGCTCATAGGGCATTCCGACAAAGGCTGGACGAAGGAAAAACTTACTCGGTGATGAATGAATCCGAAGAGCATAAAATTTCTTCTTACCCTTCCGTTCGTAGTGTTGGCCATCACGTTGCCTTCGTACGCATTTTGATGCCCGTTTTGACGTCTCAACGTCTCCTCGTAATATCTCTCGTCGTGACTTTGCGAGTGATGAACCCCTAAAGCTTGCAAACACTGAAACGGCCCAGTCGGTGGGAACGGTCCAGCTGCCTCCGGTGGGCTGTAATTTTCCGCGACGGACGACAGTGTTTGGGAAGGGCGCCTCTGCTGCTTCGGAATATTCAATCCGGACGCGCTAGCCAAGTCTAAGAGAAACATAGCATTGTTCTTCATAATTATGTGCGTTTCGTTTCCGCTAGGGCTACTAACTGGTGACACAACTTTGGCACAGGCATTCTTCTTCTTCGTCATTCCTGTCAAGAATTTTTTCGCGAGCTTCAACTTTCGGGCTCGCAAATACTTGTCGCGACACGTGTCGCAGATCAGGTACCACGAACTTCCGCCGATACCACCATCGCCGCAATTCCCCGCCCAACCTATGCAATAGTTGCCCCCGCTGTTATACCCTTTCCCCCCCGCATGCCATCCGCAACCAGGATGCATCATTTTCATATGATATGTCACTGGATGCGGGAACATCATACCGCACAACTCGCAAACCGTTTCACGCTCAATCCCTCCCAACACCTCGCTCCCGTTTCCCCTACCGACCGGTTTCCACTCCTTCTTCTTCCTGCTGTTCTTCTTCTCCCGTTCCTTCGCCTTGTCTTCCCGCGGCCGTTTCTCCGGCCGCTTCCCCAATTTCATCGTCTGTATCTGCGAGATCGGGCTCGGCAACACCGATCGTTGCTCTATCGTTTGAAGGCAATTCGTGCTCAGTTCCTCCCACAAGAACACCAGACTCTTGAGGGCAGGTGGCAATACAGCGACCGTTTGAAATTCCGGCAACGAGTCCAATTTCGCGTTTTCTTGAACCTCCTCCTTTATCACCGTTTTCTGCTTCTTCCGATTCCTGTTCGCGTTCGCGTTCGCCGCGGAACGGGTCAACGCCTCGACCGTGCTCGGTTGTATGTACAGGTAATTGCCAGCGTTGATCACCTCGACCGAGTGCCTTTGCCGCGCTTTCTGCTCCTGCTTTTGCTTGTCCGCCGATTGTATCACCGCCTGCCTGGTCACAACGAGGGCGCCCTGCTTCGGCAAGCTGGGATGAAACTTGAGGAAGCTGGCGCAAGCCATCGCATCGTGCACGATCCCCTCGTGCCAGAGGAACGCGGCGAACACGGCTCTCAAACACTCGGCCACCGACGGACTGATGGCCTCCTTCACCTTGTCCTTGTTCAGGTTCAACGTACGATTCGTGTTCGCGTTTTGCTGGGCATTGGTCGGAGACATGGTGCGTTTCGTTCTCGTCTTCGCTATCTTCGCGTGATCCCTTCTCGCCAACTTGGCCCCGTCTTTCGGCCCGGTCGAGCCGATGTTGAAGTGTCCTTTCATCGCCGTGGTCGCGCTGTCCGGACTCGTCTGCGTTTGCGCCTGCGACACTCTTTTCGGACTTTCTTGCGAATCCTTCACTCCCCGAAATCAAACCAATCATTCGTTACTTCGATAGATAAGGCGAAGAGGGAACGGACGTTTCACTTACCCCGACTTCTTGCCTCGGTGTATCGGGCGGACTAGCTATGCTACCCTCGGATCTCATGTGTAAAGAGCTACAACTTGGACTTGGAGAGAGGTCGCGGGTATTGGCAGTTGTGCTGACAGCACTTGGAGATTGCGAAGGATCCCTAGTTAGACTACTGACCAAGGCACTTGTGTCGCTTTGCGTCGATCCCCGTCGCTGCGACCTCTCGCTGTCTATCATTCCGCCAGACACTTGAAAGAGAAAGATCTCTTAAGATGAGCTATTTAAGAATTTTCGACATTGAATCGTTCGATCGATTTTCTCTAGCGTAACGACAATCTCTCAATTTTATTTCACCATATTTGCTTTTCCACGAACATTGTGGATATATATATATATATATATATATAAAGAAAGAAACGTAGATGTATAAAAGTACGTAACATTCGCATAAACTTCGTGCAACGTAACTTCGTGCGAGTTTGTCGTGAACGAGTGAAAAATTGGCTCGAGTTGCAAAAGTGGATTCGAGTCGAACAATGTACGAATTCGAAAAGATTAATCGTTCCGATTCGGCAACAATTTTCTTTGTCAGTGTAAAAATTAACGAGTATTTTATTACGTGTGTTGTTATCCTTACCTAATGGGGAGAGGCCGACACTTCGGGGGGAGCCACAGAGCACTGGGCTGCTGCTGATACTATCTCCCCCTCCTATCAAACTTCTCCCACCTGATAATTTTTGGATCAATTGTAGAATTTATATGTAATCGTGTTACGATTTATATAACTAAACTAGGCTCACTCTGCATATACTCATGTGCACTATATATACGACTTTCTATCTTTCTATCGGATGGAGGTGGATAAACGTTGCAATTGTACGTGCAAATCACAACTCTGATTATTATTCATTGTCATTGTGTTTATAAAATAATATATAGTGTCATCATCCGCATGCATTCGAATCTTTGAATGGTAGTCACACATCAACAAGGGGGATAAGGTGCTATTGTACGTTTCTTCAAAAACATCGTAATAAAGATCAAGTGTCGTAGTCGAAGTGAATGGCGAACAACATTAAACACTATATATATATATGTATATACACACACTAGATATATATATATATACACGTATCGTTAACGGTACAGAATGAGGGTTATGTCGAGTAGGAAAGGAACGAGTACCTGGTGCATGAGCAGCAGGAGGGAAGAGGCAATTACCAGAACCAACTGGCTGCCGACTGGACCCAGCTAAGAGCAACATTACTATTCTGTTATAACTAATCCGACAATCAAAAAAAATCTTATATTTAAGATATCCTAAGGTTCGTTCGTCGACTAATAATAATAATAATAATAATAATAATAATAATAATAATAATAATAATAATAATTGGAAAGTGTGTGACTTATTCAAACTTAATGGTTCGTTCTAATAAGACATATATATATATATATGTATGTAATCCGTTTCGCGAAGTGAAGAATAAAAATATCTGTTGGACGCTATATATATATAATCTTACGAGTAATCGTTATCGGGTCTCTCAGCTTCTGAAACGATTCCCTCCTCGGACCAGTGTTACGATGCCAAAAGTGTGAAGTAAGACACACGCATGAATGAATGAGATTAAGAATGAGATCACACGAGTTGAAGAAAAAAAAAAAAAAGAAAAGAAAGAAAGAAAGAAAAGAAAAAAATAAACGATAATAGACGATAAAGATCTGTCCGTAGAGTACGTAACAACGATTTGAGAATATACGTGGTATACGTACCGGGTATCGGAACCGGACTAGAGGACGGGCTGTGAAATCTTGGTGACCCACCTTGGGGATTCTTGGGCGACGAACTTCTCGACAATCTTCTCGGTGTCTCGGGTGGCGTGGGCCCGTTACCGTTCGCTCGACTCTCCCCTATCGCCTTCACCAATTCCTTCACCGACACACCGACGAATTCCGAGAAATCTCTACAAATGGCAAAACTATATAACGAAACTAATCTCGCTGCGCGATCGTTTCCCCCGCTCCCCAACTCACTTGCCAGGGGAACTTCTTTTCTCTCCGTGACACTTGTCGTCGCCCCTCAACCACTTTTGCAGAACGCTCAATTTCCCACCGCCCCCTTCTCTCTCCCTCTCCTTCGCCACCCTCTCCTTCGAATGGGCCTTGGAGAACTTGGACGAGACGTCCGCCTTCTCCGGCGTGAATCTCTCGCTTCCTGAAGGGTGAGCGATCAAAGATAAATAATATACATGTAGATAGAGATGTAGGTAAAGGGAAATCTGCATCATGCTTTCACGCAATGATACCTGGTGAATCGTGTTGGTTGTACGAACCAAAAACGAATGGATTTGTATTACTACCCTCTCCACAGTCTGCTGTACCTGGTGTTAAATTTTGAGCGGTGAAATTGAAGCCCTCGTGACTCACGGAAGGCACGGAAAAATCGAAACCTTTGTGATTAGGCGAGTCGGACGGGTCGGACGCCGCGGCCGCTCTCTTTTCCATCGGATCGTTCTCGAACTCTTGCTCGATCTTCATGTAAGTAACGCCGTGCTTGCTCACCGCCAGGGACCAAGCTTCGCCCTCTGCCACCCGACCCTTCCGGAAACAGTATTTCGCCATCGATTCGTCGTCCATGCGTACCCAAGTACCCTCGCCGTTCACGAACTGTCGCCGATATAATAACCGCGAATGTAATACTCGATTGAAAATCAATTGTTCGTCGACTTTGTCGAATGGAACACTCACGTATTCTTGAATGGTCACCATGTTCCCAAGAGCTAATTTCCCAACCGGTGCCGCGTTCAATCCCGGCCTACTTCTGATATTGTGACCGGAAGCGCCGCACTTCACGACCACCATGTTTCTACCACCGTCGAACGTAACCGTCTTCCTTTTGCTAAAACGATACACGCAATACAGAAGTCGTTACGAAGTCGTTGCGAAACGTTCGATCAACAAAGTTTTCCATTTCCCATACTCGTCAACTATTTCCGGCCTTTTCCGCAATATCGTCTCCTTGATCACTTGGTCCAAGATCGATTTAGGCTCCTCGACGGGAAGAAGCAACGTCTTCCCCAAATGTTGATTGTATTGCAAACACCAAGCTTCCAGATGGCTGCTGCTGCAATACTCCTTGATCGTTTCCGCGTTCAATCGTAGCCAAACACCGTCGTCGTTGTGAATCTAGAAAGAGAAGCAGGAAAGGAGAATAAGGGGAATAATCCTTCTCGAGAAAGATAGATGCACGAAGAGAACGAATCGTTGCGCCGATACCTCGTCTATGAAGGCTATGGTATCGTTCACCGAAACGATGCCAATTTGCTCGCTTTGAAGGGACGGATGCGCCCTTATCCTCAGCCCAGCGCTGTTCTTCGCCACGAATTTTCTAAGCCTGCTCGGTTGATGTTGCGGTTTCTTCACGACGTTTTGCGTGGGCGGTTGCATACCTTGCGGCGATTCCTTCACCTCGACCTTGTATTTCTGCGAAAAATCGAGATTCTCGATCAACGATTTACATCGAGAGGAGAAGAGGTAAGAGATCGAAGGACAAATATTTACATCTTCCATGTCGTATCCGTCTATGGTGATCATAAGGGAGTACCATCCGACGGATGACGGTGTCCAGGCCGCGCTGTAGCTTCCATCGTCGTTCGGTCTAACCAGCATGCTTTCGCTCGTTCTTTTTATAGCCGGCGACATAAACCTCAACTCCTCGAACGAATAGTTTTGATAAGCCTTCATGATCGTAATCGCGTAGAAGCACGTCTTGTTGTTGATGGTCACCTCGTACGGCACGTCCAAGGGTGGCTGAGGATGACCGCCGAACGTCAACGGATCGGGTTGAGAAACTCGTTCCGAATCTCCCAAGTCTTTTTTCTCTATAGGAACTGCCTTCACCTCCACCTGAAACGTTGCGCAGCGTTGTTCAATTAGAGATGTATCATCCGATTAATTATATCGCGCGTGTCTGTGTCTGTACACATACCTTTAAATTAGGTACATGAACGATATCCCCGTACTGATCTCTGGTGTGTATAGTGACGATGGCAGGGCATCCGCACTTCATGTCGTCCTTCGAGTAAAGCGCCTCGCATTTCGAGGGATCTACGAAACTGTCCGGCTGTAACCATCTCGCCAAACGACCTCCGCTGCTGCCAGCCGTGCAAGATACGAAGTCTCGGAGAAACAGCCGTTCGTTCGAGTGGCCACTGCGAACAAGAAACAAGGAAAAAAGAAAATTTTCACTCGAAAATTTTATTTCGTCGAATCGTCCGATTATTCGAAGATCCAAACATTTCTGTAGATAGGAAAAGAAAGAAACGATAAATACGTTGGATCGGATCGTTATTAGAACGAAATTGCGATGGCCCTAATTGGCGATCTTTTCACGGATCTCGGCTGGATACGCGACGAGGCAGAGGACGATGCTCCTCCGCCAGCCAGACAATCGCCGTTTTCCCCCGACCAGTCATCGCCGGACTCATCCCTAATAAGGCGCAATCACGTCGCAATTCCGTCCACCGTGACCCGCCTCTCGCAAACGTGTCCGCTTTATCCATCTATATATATATATATATCGTTACTTCACCGATTTCGTTCCCAGCGAGCGAGAAGAGAACCACTTCTTCGAAAGCCTCGGTTTATACGCTCGGTTACTTTCAAAGAAGCCAATGTAACCAAACCGGTATCGGGCAACGCGCTCGCCGCGGATTTGATCGAAACTCGCCTCGGCAAAGAAATTGTATTCGCTTCTCCGCCTCGTTCACCAGACAACTTTCTTTGATTATTATCGAACAACAATCTTGGATGCTTTACGAACAAGTAACTCGTACGTTGGATCGGATCGTTATTAGAACGAAATTGCGATGGCCCTAATTGGCGATCTTTTCACGGATCTCGGCTGGATACGCGACGAGGCAGAGGACGATGCTCCTCCGCCAGCCAGACAATCGCCGTTTTCCCCCGACCAGTCATCGCCGGACTCATCCCTAATAAGGCGCAATCACGTCGCAATTCCGTCCACCGTGACCCGCCTCTCGCAAACGTGTCCGCTTTATCCATCTATATATATATATATATCGTTACTTCACCGATTTCGTTCCCAGCGAGCGAGAAGAGAACCACTTCTTCGAAAGCCTCGGTTTATACGCTCGGTTACTTTCAAAGAAGCCAATGTAACCAAACCGGTATCGGGCAACGCGCTCGCCGCGGATTTGATCGAAACTCGCCTCGGCAAAGAAATTGTATTCGCTTCTCCGCCTCGTTCACCAGACAACTTTCTTTGATTATTATCGAACAACAATCTTGGATGCTTTACGAACAAGTAACTCGTCGTTGGATAATCACAACGTCATCGATTCCAACTTCCTAAATCCTTCATCGTCCCTAAAAATCGGAGTTTTCTTAGAATTACAGTGGCCGTTGATGAAATTGGGAAAATTCTAGATTTGTAAATCCTTCATCGTCATGGTGGAAGAAGTAACTCGCCGTTGGATAATCACAACGTCATCGATTCCAACTTCCTAAATACTTCATCGTCCCTAAAAATCGGAGTTTTCTTAGAATCACAGTATCCATTGATGAAATTGGGAAAATTCTAGATTTGTAAATCCTTCATCGTCATGGTGGAAGAAGTAACTCGCCGTTGGATAATCACAACGTCATCGATTCCAACTTCCTAAATACTTCATCGTCTCTAAAAATCGGAGTATTTCTAGAATTACGCTGTCCATCGTGATCGATAGAATTGGGAAAATTCTCAAACAAGCCACCTTGAATGCCGTACGAACAAGTAACTTGTCATTAAGTAATCATAACGTTATCGATTCCAAAATCCTTCATCGTCCCTAAAAATCGGAGTTTTCGTAGAATTACACCGTCCATCGATAGAATTGGGAAAATTCTCTAATAAGCTATCATGGATGTTGTGCGAAGAAGTAATTTGTCGTTGGGTAATTAGAACGTCATCGATTCCAAATAAATTCCTAAATCCTTCATCGACATGGTGGAAGAGGTAACTCGTCGCTGGATAATCGCAACGTCATCGATTCCAACTTCCTAAATCCTTCATCGTCCCTAAAAATCGAAGTTTTCGTAAAATTGCAGTGGGATCGATGGAATTAAATGGGAAATAGTAAGTGAGATCGCGGAGGATTGATTCGTCATAGTTGTCGATACGACACTCGGATCGTGAAATATCCTTGACGTAGGTCTCGTTTTACCAGAGATCCACGTCGGGTAATACGAGACACGAGGAAGGAGATCGATGGAAGGAACGTGAACGAAATCGAAGAGGGAGAGAGAGAGGTTCGGTCGGCTTTAAGGTCGGTGTGACGTATGGCGAGCGCATGGTCATTTCGGAAATGGCCACTTCGGATGGCGTCAGATGGTTCGAGAAGAGAGCATTATGAATGAATGGACGTTTCGCGTCGCGCGTGACGTGGACACGACGGGACGGCAACGAGGGCAAAGTTGCGCGGACACGTGCAATTTCTCATGGGAAATTAAATGGCCGGCCCTTCGGCTCATAAAGCGAGCGCAGCCACGATGCCGTGCCATTTTAGGGAAACGCTGTCCATCGTGAAAAGCGACTGTGAAAAGTGGCCGGCTTCTCTCGTTTTTACGCTAGCGGCCTGCCTCTGCGTCTCTCGCGTTAGATTTCCCTGCAAACAACTCGTAAAATACGCGCGTTTCGCTCTTTCACGGCTTTCTACCGCGTGCGCGTAATTTTTCTATCTTTCTTTTTTTTTTTTCCTCCTCTCGGATTTTTTTTTTTTGCGAGGATGTTATAAAATTTGCCAAGTTTAAATTAGAGGACTGGTGGAGCGAATGTCTCGAAAATTTCATACGAAGGAGAGTCGCTCGAAACTTTCGAACTTTTCGAAGCTCAAAATTTAATACGAGTTTGAGTTATTAGGCGCGAATCGTATACCGAATAGAAAATAACGTAGTATCGTATTTCGACCTTGGAACGATATAATAATTCTTTCCGCGTCGCGCAATAGTGATCATCAATTATTAACGATGCTTTTTCTCCTTTTATCGCAGGGATAAACGAAATATCATTTTTCGAATAAATTTTAATTTCTTATCGATTCGTAGACGACGAAGGTAGCGATCGCGATGCAATAAACAACGATCGATTCGTCCTTCCGAGTCAAATCGATCACAATAACGCGGGAAGAAACCACAGACAGAGGAGACGAATAAAGAATAACGCGGTGGATATCGATGCTTGGTGAACAGGTACGATCGCTCTCTCTCTCTCTCTCTCTTTCCACGTAAGCGTAACCCTGGCTGGAAAAACCGCACACAACACGAACGCGTGGTTACGTAAACGGCGAGGAGGATCCGCGCAAAACTTGGTCAAGGTCGGCCCTTGGAAGGCAGCAGCGACCCTACGACCTGCACGAAAACCGGTGCCGAGGATTTTGTCTCGGTTGGGTGTGCGCGGAGGACAGAACGCGATGGCGTGGTCGTCCCGTTCGTTCGTTCGTTCGCCCCTCACGACGCGCTTTTATCTTTTAAAAGGTCGAAGAGGGAGAATAAACGCGAGAGCGAGGCAAAGTGTAAGGAAGACGGTTGTTGGTGGGGAGGAGACAGTGATCGTGCATGCCACCGAGCACAGTTCGAAAGCAACCTTCGTCATGATCGCGTCAGCTTGCCTCTAGCTGCCCCACCTCTTCGCGCGCGTGTTTCGACTATATAGCCTCGCGGTGGACACATCCGTTCCACCACTTTTCCGTCCCACGTTTTCTCCTCTCCGAGCATGCTGCTCGCCCGCTCGGCGACGGAGTCCACTCGTTGAGGAAAAATCCCTTCTCGCGAGAAGAAGAAGAAGAAGAAGGATTTGGAGGAAAGTCGCGGAAAGTGTGGAAAGGATTATTCGTGAGTGGTTCCCTTTGTTCGAGTCGAGTACGAATCACGATTCGATTCGTTGGCGATACGAATTTCCAAGATCCAAATGTGAGCGAAGAAGGAGGAAGATCGAGAGAGATCCGGATGAAAGTGGGGCACGACGAGTATAACGGTGAACGATGTGAGGAAAGATCGAAGCCGGGTGGAAAAATCGAAGGCGATCGATCGATCTGGGTGGAAGAAGGCGGCCTTTTGTGAAGATGGCCGTGGCCGGGTCGTGGAGGATCGGCGATAACGGAAAGAGGAGAGTGTCGTGGAGCGGGCTCGAGCGTGATCGCGCGATGGTATGGTCGGTGTCTCTGTGCTGTTTGGTATTTCTGGTTGGTAAGGTGGAGAGTGCACCGCCCGGGATATGCGCGATGGACGGGTGCAACTGCACCGTCAAGGCACACCGTTGGATTAACGTCAAATGCGTCTTCTCCAACGACCAGGTGAATCCAACTCGACCCAACTCCACACGCACGCTTCGTTCCCTCGCGCGATTTTATATAGGCGGTGTTTCGATTCACGACCGCCATGATAACTGGATGCTGGAACGTGCGACGCAATGCGCGCCCGATGACTAACACGCTCTCTCTCTCTCTCTCTCTCTCTCTCTCCTCTCTCGAGTTTCCAGCCTCTTCGCGTTTCTTCTCTTCGCGTTATAACTTAGCATCTCCTGTTACGATCTAAAAATGGAGGCTCTTAGCGGTGCCATCGCGCTGCTCTAGTCGAATAGCACGCCGTATAGTCGCCCCCTCTCACAGGAGGGAACAAAGCTTTTTCCCCGAAGATTAGCAACGATCGTTAAAATTCCGCGCACGGAATTTTCTCCTCCTCCAAGTTTCAAACTTCAACATATTTACGCTAGATCTTGTCGTTAAGAAAATTATCGCTTCTATCCTTGGGCCGGTGAACGTTCGCGATGGTGAAAGTTTTCGTAAATCGTTTCGATCCGTGAACAATAATAACAATAATAATATCGTTCACGAACGCACTTATTATTTCCACTCGTCGTTCCCGTCTCGGTTGGACGCGATCCACCGACCACGCCATTCGATCGTATTAACCGTACCCAACCGGTTCCCTCTCGCCTTCGAACGAGAAACTTCCGCGAGAAACTTGGGAATCGAGTTGGGACTCGATGCACCGGCTGCTAACCGGATAACGAATCGCTATTGTTGTTGGCCCGCGTTCCGATACGCGATCTCCCCCATCCATTTTCCACCGGTGATCAAAACGAATTCGAAAATCGAATTAACGGGCTCGTGGAATTCGATTACGTGGAGCGCAAGGTGTCCACGTAATAACGCATACGATCCGATCCTAAGAATCTTCGAGGAGGAGGATTTTATTTTATCGCAACGGCGAAGAATCGTGGATCGCTGGTAAGCCGGTAATAACCCGTCCCGGAATTAACGACGGTCTAGATTTCTAAGGTCGATAGGTCGGGTTAAGTATCGATGCACGTTACGCTTCTCGACTTCGAACTGGGCCCCTGTTCATTCCCTATCTTCCCGTCGATCTGAGCGAGCCGCGTGGAAAACGCAAGGATAACCAGTTTTACGTAACGTTTAGCTCGGCAAAAATATAATTTCCACGAGTCGTTAACAATTTCTAGAATATCCTTGTTTCCTGTTAAACGACGCGAAAAATTTCTCGTCCATTTTTCGAAATTCTTTCGTTTATTATTATTATTATTATTATTATTAAATTTAATTTGATATATCGTCGTCTTCCCCCTCCCCCCCCTCCTCTTCGCTATCGTTCAAGTAACGGGCTCTGTGAACCGGCTATCAAGCCGACTACGTTTCGTATCATTGAAAGTAATTTCTGTCGATCCGACAAACGCCTGACGCGACACGCGTAGGCGTGACACGCATCGCAATGTATACCGGGTGTTGTTCTTTAATCGTGAACGAATGAAGAAAACGAATCGTCGATCGATCCTTTCCCCTTTGTTATTCGTCGCGTTCGAGCAGAGGTCGATGTATATACGATATTCCCATCCCCGGTTCAACGACACCGGTCCGTCCACGAAATATACTTCCTAATCGAATCAGATCCAGCAGCCACCAGCGTCACTTATCGTTCCAACTGTCGTTAATTCTATTTAGAGGGCGGGCGCTCGTGTGATTATTCGCGTTAAACGCTCGTTAAGAGTTTCTTTAATCGTGACGTTTCGACTCGGTAGAAGAGATGTGAGCATGGATTCGAGCATGGATGAATGAAATTCCAATCCCAAACGGACGGGTTACGTCATCCCGATCGCGTTCGCCTCTTGCAGCAACAGTTGCATCGAATTACCATCGATCCAAGCTTCGCTTCATCTCGAATTCTCCACTTCTTTCTTTCCTTCCTCTTCTTCCTCTTCTTCTTAGATCCGATCTTGGATTTCAACAAGCTTGGAATACGTCGAATACGAATTCTCGATTCCGGAAACGATAACGGACAAAAAACTATGGGGAATATTTTCTCGAAACGTTCGGACACGTTCGGCTGAACGCGTTAGAGGAAACGTTCGTGGCACGAATACCGTTTATACGAGGCGAAGCCCCCTTCGTAGATGGCCGCGATACGAAGGTATCCCACCACGAAATCGTTGGCGGCGAGCTCGCCTAAACCTAGTCGGCTTCCGGCGTGCGCGACTTCCGGCCGAAGGGTTGACCGAGCTCCAAGTCGATCGGGTGGAGGGGGAGACGGCGCGTGCATTTCCTCTCCGCGCGCGTTCCTCATTCTTCTCTCATCAGCCTTTATAAACGCCTGCCGGAGGATTTGAAAAATCCGCGATTAACCTTATCGCGGTGTACACACACTGGTCGTTGACCGCAAATTGCCGCGGCGCAACCGTTCCAGTTATATTCCAGCCGCCTCCTCCCTTCTCCTTCGCGATAAATCGCGTCCAATGTTTCGAATTCAATTAATAAGAACGCCGATTCATTTGCAAACTTTTATTCGAAACTGAAAATGGATTCGTGCGACAACAAGAGGAATAATAATTGAACGGTGAACACCTCTGCGGGGCCTTTTCTATATACCGCGGTCGTCGGTTGGATTAATAAATTGACCGCGGGTGTCGGGGCCGCGGTGGGAATTTCATCCGTACAAAACGCGAGAGAAAACCACCACACGCGTCCAACTCTCGAGCTCTGACCGCTCGACCCAATCCTTGCTCCGCCTCAATTTATTCACAATAGGCTCTTTCAACGAATTACACTTCGGTCCACGACGAATCTCTGGGTGTTGCCGACCGGCCGGTCGACGCGGTAATCATGCGGGCGCGTTGTGTCGTTCTGCCACCACGAGGGGAAAAAATTATGGGTGTCGTTTATCCTCATCCTCACCCCCGTCCACCCTTTTCCACCGTTTCATCTTTCGCCGTACCGATGTTTTAGTCCCCCTCCTTTTTTTCGAATTCATCGTCGAAAGGAGAGGAAACGAACGATCTTCCGCGACGATCCTCGACGGTGGATGATAACGCGCCTTCGATAACCTAATAAACGGCGCGGATAGAGATTGCGGCACGCAGCGTGTTACGAGGCGGTGTATCCCCGCAGGGCAGATATATTATTTTAGGGCAGGGCTCGGCGCACAATACGCGCATCTGCCCCGATTGCGGTTTGCCCGCTTTGTCTCGAGAATTCGCTCGGGGGCGTAGATATAGGCGACATCCTGCTTCGTTCATTCCCGACGATAATTCTCTGTAACACCCCGCGAGCACACTCGAGTTATCGCGATTGGCCACACGTGCGAAGTGGCCCATCCACTCTCTCTCTCTCTCTCTCTCGTCCAATTTACCGTACGCGCTTGCGAAATCGTACGGATTAGTCACCGGTTCTTTGCCACGGCGAGAAAGAACGGCCTTGCGAAGAAAGGCCAAATTTCTGTCTTTTTATCGAGTTTTAACGGAAATATTCGTCTCGCGATAATGTAAACGGAATTATAACGGAATTGGATTATAAAGTCGGTGTGTATTATCGTATTAACCGTGTTTCGAACAGCGAGGACAAAGGAATATGCGATTTTAATGCACCAGTTGATTCAATTGTTTTCACAGCTATTGTTGTGACGCGTGTCGATAGGAATTTTAATTTAATTAATAGTTGGCAGACTTTGTTCCTCGCTATCTCGGCATTTACGTTCGGGATTTTATGTTTCTTTCGCGTATATTTTCGTAAATCATCGAAATCACAATTGCAGGAATTTATTCGTTCGTTCTTAGAACGCTTCATTCTGAAAGTGAGAGGAAGTGCATCGCAATCGAAACCGTGTATGCGCCTATACGCCGTGCCATATATAAATGTATGTATGTGCCAATCCTAAATCCAACTCTCGTGACTGAATCACTCGAAATTCTCCACGCGCGTAACCATCGCGTCGAATCGCAACAGTTTATGCAAGATTTCGTAAATTCGCTTCTCCGATATCACGCACCCTCGCGTCAATAATACGTTTCTCAACTATGAGCTCGAAATACCTTTTGCATCACCTATGATGCAAATGTATCACCACCTTTGTACTCGCGAAACTTTCTCGAAAGTAATTTAAGTAAGAAGTGGTGGCAGCAGGTGTCGCGCAAAATAATGTCACGATGACAATAACCTTCTCTCTCTTGCGTTGTTCGCGGCGAGTCCGCGTGTTACTAGTTCACGTTTTAAACGTATCTCGCGTCTTAAACACGAGACACCTTCTCGACGCCACCGATACGGATGATTGTGGAAGAGATATAACTCGCAAACTTGAGCAACGCCGTTACGTCCCTCCGTTTCATCGATACTATCTGCTATTTCGTATTTCTCGGAGGAAGAAACTAATAACGGGCTCGTTGTTTCTTGAATTCTCGAGATCGCGATGACCTTGGCTCGCGATCACCCTTGGCAGATCCCAGTCTTCTTTCCAACCGCTATTTCCGTCTCAGCGGCGACTCGTCAACGTGGATCGAAATTCGTTTCGGCCAAGAATTCCACCGAGAATTCGTACCGCGATTCTAACGATCTCGTCGTTTAAAAGTAATTACGTAATAGAAATTTTCGCATAAATCTCGCGCGTAGTTAACGGTTCGATTTTATCGTCGAGTACGACTCGACTTGTCGTTGATTTAGAAAGCTGCTGCCACTCGCTATTAACCAAGCAGATTTAACTTCGAAATAACGATGCTCGACGTTCCGCGCTGTTCGATACAACAGGTGTCGAGTTTACGCGAAATATCCACGATACGTTTGTCATGCCTCGTCGATTCCTTCCCGTTTAGAAAAACACCATCTTCTCGAAGGCGAACGACGAGCGTTGAAGAGGATGAGCGTGGAAAAGTGTATATTCAGAGGCGATCGATCGAATTATATCGCGGCGTAAGTAACGAAGATCCACACCCTTTCTGCCAGCCGGCCGAACTCCACAGGGAAGGAGGAAAAGTAACTCGAGAGTTCAGAAGGAAGGAGTGGCGCATGCACCG